TACTATATTACTATCGAACTACTACGAACCTATACTGTTTATTATGTTCGAGCACTAGGACATATCTGATTGTTAACAGTAGCTTGAAGCGTCATTATGTTGACCTGTTCGTAAGCATTATGGTTGCTTATTTTTTTATATAATATTTGCCGAACACAATAATATTGTAGTATTGTAGAGTTTATAGTGTAGTTATTGAAAATAAATAATATATTATGAATGAATAAAGCTAAACTTTATTTTTAGTTTCAGAAAAATTTAACTCATTTTATTTAAGTACCCCATGCACAATATTAGTAAAATATGATATAATTCTATTTTACTTGAAATTGCGTAAAAGAATAGACGTATGCACTTTGTCTTGCAAAGTCATTGCAAGAATGTTGTACTAAAATTGCAAGAGTGCGAAAACACCTCTGCTACAGAATTGCAATATTAAAATGAAACAGCTGTTTTTGCAGCATACCACATCTACATGCCAAGCAACAGATGTCAAAACATCTGTTTTTTTGCTTTTTGTTTCCTGCCAAGCCTATATATTTTGGTGTAGGTATAGTAAGATTGTAAACAATTTGCAAAAAACTTTGTGCGTGTATTTTGTTGTTGTCCATTGCAAGCTCGCGCAATCCGTACATTTAGTGCGTTGCAATTAGTTTGCACGACAGAGTGAATACTTCTAATATCTCAAAATATATCAAATTTCCGATTCTCATGGATGTAGAGCCTTGAATTATTACGCTTCATATCTACCACGTTAATAGATAACAAAAGCTGATATAAAAAGAGCACAATAAAAATCAAGTTCATAACATTTTCGAACAGACACCCATATTAATAATACCGTAGTCACCACATATGACTCTAACCCAACTTCAGCGTAACATCTCCTCTTCTATAAATGCAATTGTCAATGTAGCTTCATCGACAACATCAATGGGTAGCTGCATTTAACAAATAAGATCAACTCAGCCTGATATATTAGTGAGCAAGGCAACATGATACGATGCATCACATTACACAACTCTGGACTCATCACTACGTGACTCCACTATGAGCAACTAACGTTGTAATTTTAAAATTTAAAATTGATTACAAGTATTTATATTGTGTTTTCTTTTACTATAACTATCTTAATTATTTTAAATCAAATTTAATTTGTACTATGTGTTGTTTATTGAAATTCTAAGAACACTGATCTTAACTGCTATTTTTCATATCTGATTGCGTTAACAAGTACGAGACTACTAATCTCGTACTGGGTGCATTACGTACATTACGTACTGAAAACAATTGAACGATATTAAAACCACTTTTATTATTAAACTCACAACCAGTTGCAACCTCTCCTTAGGCAGATGGCAGCTTGCATTTGATTAAGTTGTTTAGTGTTTAATAGCTCAGGTTTGATTTTCTGCTGTTTTATGAATTTTAATAATAACTTAATTATGACACTTAATATTACAAAGTGTTTACAAGGTTCTACTTATCGCTTGATTTATAGCCAACGATACTCTAAGCGTAACAAGTATACCTCAAGCTCCCACAAATTTGCTACTATAACGATGTTAACTTAATGGCATTTTTATCTTTCCTAATTAGCTTTGCTCCTGGTTGAAAGCAGTTGAAAGCGAGTAACCATAACAAATTGTTTAAGAGGTTCTAGCAATTTCTGGTTGTTATCGCTTTTACATTGTCTTCATAAAAAATGTTGCCAAAAACAAAATTTATTTATACACTTATTTAACTTTATTTTCTACAACGTGAGATATTACTAGGAATATATTTTATAGCTACGGATATGAATAAATCACGATTATAGAGCATATATCTAACAGTATAGTGCCATTATAGGCATTTCCATATAAAATCTATACAAGTTCCCTACACAAATGTAGAAATGCCTATGATATGTGTTCACATTTATATGAAAAATGTCTAAGGTGACACTACATAAAGCACATCTGTCGAGTTGATTCCGATCATGTATATATGAAAGTATTATATATTATTATATATGATTATATATGAATATAGTCATTTTTTTCTACAAGAAATTGTTTTTTCTTTTGGGTTTAAGACGATATGGGTTTTTTATATGATAGTGTTAGAAATTTTGCCACAGTATCTATTACGGTCACTATAGTATTCTTAACTAGGAGCACAGCGGCCTGGTACTTTTTGTGCCATGAGATTTATGTACAATAAAAATTGTTTACAATGTTATTATAATATAGTCACTAAAATTAAAATTTACTTTAAGTAAATCTAAGCTATATGTCACACAAAAAATGATATGTAAATCATTCAAAAATTTTTTTTCCATCTAAAAAATTACAGGTTACATTAAGTTTTGTTAATTTTGAAACCAAATGATGATGATGTCCATAAATAAATGAAAGAAACATTCTCGTATATGTCATAATTGTTCAAGTTTATTTAATTGTGTTTTGCAGTATGATGCGAATAGTTAATCGCTATAAAAGCGATACTATAATTTAGAAGTGTTGAGTTAATATTACAAGTAATCAGGATATTCATAACAAACTGTCAGAAATTTATGTTTCGACTTCTTAATGGCTCTTCTCACTAGTATAAAGATGTAAATTATATAGTTTAGTGTTACACATTCGCTTGAAAAAACACTGCACCTATTATTAAAAACAGGTCTCTAGAGCATTTAATTCTATGCTCTAAATAGACGAATCGGACATAAAAACATTGATGATAATATTATTATTACTGGTTTTCATACGATTGTGACAAGTCCATAATTTAAATATTTTATGCTTTTGCAAAATACAAATTTGAATGCGTTTTCACAAGTTCGTTAAACTGTTATATATATATATCTTTCAGTTTATTATTATCTTTCAATTTAATGCAATCAATTAAATTCAAATTAATTTTGCTCAAACTGTAGCATTCATGCTGGATTTATCGTTCGGTTGACTTTGGAAGAATTTCTCAAATATATTTGAAACTAGTGCAACGGACTTACTAGTTAATTCAAACTGCAGATGATATTGATAAAGATTATACTGGTATGCAAAAATACTTCCCTCATGACCACATTTGTTATCGACGATCGGTAGGAGCAAAAACACTACTCCAAAACCAATTATCGATAGTGTACTCTTATCTGAGATACAAATTTTATTTAAGCTTAAAGCTAATCTGCACCACACGAAACGTAAACTGAATTTTACTCAAAAAAAATATGATTTCTTTTAATGTACAAATGCTTAAACGTTTATGTTTCCTTAATGAAGCTAAAGTGTCTTGTTAGTTAGTTGCTAAGTGTCATTTAGGGGAGTCCAGTTTTGCATTTTTTATTTTTAATTACAGTTCCAGTCATTTACTGGCACATGCTGAGTCAGTTCGCATGCTGAGCGCCACAATATCGTCAGGTTGGCACTTTTAATATTTTATGGCTTTTTAATAACACTAGTTTACGTGGTTTATATAAACCGCCGCAAGCTACCTCAGCAACGTACTAAATATGCAAATTAATGCAGTTTGCTGTGTATCCTAGATTCTTATAAATCAAATATTTTTTATTAGCACAATATAACTTTTAATTGCATTATTAAAAGCCCGTAAAATTAGGATAAAATTTTAATAGCTGAACCAGTTAAAAAGTTTACGTAGCTGAAGTTATGTTTTATGGTGACAGTGCTCTATCCAACTGACAGTCGTTTTCTTTAAAGATGGATCAATTGAATAGTGTTTGTAGTTTAAGGTAAGCTAAAGCAGGCATCGTTCTGCTCTATTGACAGTTGTTTTTCTAAAAGACGGACCAGTTAAAAAATCTTTGTAACTTGAAGTATCTTTTCTGGTTGCAATGCTTTGCCTAACTGACAATCGCTTTCAAATTGCATATTGTTGTATGAGTTGTACGGGAACGTCATCGAAAGCATTGAAACTTGCATATGAAAGTCAATGGAAAACCTTAAAATACTTTTAAGATAATTTAAACTGACTCTTCGCCCATAAATTGCATTTTTATTGGTTTACGAAATCTGTGTAAAGTGTGAAGTTATTTGATATTTTCTTACCAAATATTAGTTAAGCATTGTTTCAAGTACACTGCACTATAGTTTTGTTGGTAATTCTTAAGTGATAAAATTGTAAAAAATAAATGATAATTACATAAATCAAATATTGTATCTGCAAAAATTGTGTATATTTATTATTGTTTAATAGCCATATATGTATGCACCACATATGTCATATATCTTGAGAGGTGTTTTAAGTACTACATTTGTACTACATGTTCTTAAAATGGTAATAATTTTAGTCAAGTATGTTAATTGAAAAATTAAAATATAAAAATGTTTACAAGACATAAAATTAAAATTTCGAAATGCTGATCGAATCGGCCACATTTACTTATTTAGTTACTTGCATTTTATTTTTTTACACAAGCCAAGTAAAAAAAAAATTAATACATTAAACAATGATAATGACAACGTAAGGCTTATGTACCAGGCAAAGTAATAACATTAAATTGTCTAGAATTTAAGTTAATTGTCATTTTGTCAGACGAACAAAATCTTCAGCTTTTAGTGCTGTCCGGCGACAACACTATAAGCCTTAAAGTAAAGATGCAGACGACAGTTAAGTTGTCAGTTTGTCACTTAGCATGTAAGTGAATACATCTCAACATAGACCGGCTTAGGTTAACCACTTTGCATGTGAATATAACCAGCGCGTGCTTGTTATTTACCCGCAATTGCTTTCCTTGGACTTGTAGTTTTTTTGCATAGAAGTGTTAACGGTTAAGAAAATCTTTTAATAGAATTTTATTGTAAATAATTTATTTTAGCTTGCAATTGCACTTTTCCAGTTCCACAAATAGCTAATTTCGTAGACAGTTCACAATAACCTGCATGTTTACATGCATAATCCTTAATAATTTTCCATTTAAAGTTTTTGAGTTGTAAAAATTGAATCAGTTTAAGAGATTTAGTTCATTTTCTAGTCTTATTGCTACTTCTTACCGTGTATGTCGTCAACACAAATCCTCAAGTCTTCACGATATGTGCTCAAGTATGGCAAGCAACGGCACTGGCAACTTTCTGCATCATTGGTATTACTCGTTGTTTTTGTTTTAATGCGTTTAGTCAACAGCTCCGATTGACCATTGTTGCCGCCAGCAAGCGAAGCGTGTACTTCTGAGAAAATTAAATAGAATAATTATAAGAAAAGAAAAAAATAAGAATTAAGAACAGATTTTGCATGGAGATACTTTTAATTTTACAGTAAATTATCCAATTTACCTTTTTTGTCACCTCCTAAATTATGGAGTCCTGCTGTACCACTGGATAAACCAACACAGGTATCAGAGATGCAACGAGAAACGCCTATTTATACATAAAAAATATAAATTTTAATTTTAATTTAAAAAGAAAATTCTAAAAATGATTTAATAAAGTGATTGAGACATTTGAAATGATCTCATCACAAACGTAAATTTGCCTGAAGACATTTTTAACTTTCAATTATTTAATTTAATTGCAATTTAAAATTAATAATGTGGATATAGCTCAATCACATTCTGTGAAATATCTGGGTATTCATCTAGATAGAAGGCTCACGTAGACAAGTCATATTGAAACCAAAAAATGCCAATCAAATCTATAATAAAATACAAGGAATTATATTGGCTTCTAAATCGTAATTCTATATTCAGTCTCGATAACAAATTGTTAATTTACAAATCAATATTAAAGCGAATTTAGACCTATGGTATAGAACTGTGGCGTTCAGCGTGTAACACAAATATAGAAAAAATCCAGAGAGTATAAAATAACATAAAAATCTCCGACAAGCTACCGTGGTATGTCAAAAACAAAAATCTGCACAAAGACCTAAATTTGCCAACTGTTGAAGAAGTTATTCGCCAATATATACCTTCATTTCGAGAGAGACCCAAGTCGTATCGAAATCCTCATGTTCGACAATTATCTTTTGCAACTGCACTAAATCGCTTTAAAAGAAAATCATTGATAAATATGAATATCCTAACTCATTAGCATACATTTTATATTCAATTGTAACCTGGGTAGAAACGGTAAGAGCAGAATGTCGTGAAAGAGGTTCTTGACAGAAAATAAAAAGAATCGAAAATCGATAAAGCTGGAGAGAGTTTGTTACTGCCCTATGCTCCACAAGGCGCGATATTATTTCATATTTTTGTGTTTATGAATATGTAAAATAATATCAAGGAAAAAAAAAAAGAAATACAATATGCAGAATTACAATTACAGAGGTTGGTTAATAAATAGGATGTTTGGATAAGAAATGAGTGCAACAAATTTTGTGATTTATCTAACAGTATATGGTGAAACCAAACATCACGGTTATATCGTAACCATTGATATTATAATAATAATAATAATAAGTCTTGCTCGACGTCAATGATTTCGAGCAGGCTCTTGAAATTCGCAAAAGAAAATTTGGATAGATCGTGCATACACTTCGAAAGGCTCCTATAGAAATTTGTTAACAGGCATTGGTATACAACCCGCAAGGTAGCAGAAGAAGATGTCGTTCAAAAATAACGCGGAAAAAGTCTACGTTAAATTAGATAAATACTGTTTTGCAGCCCCTAGGAAGAAGAATAATCAACATTACTGATATAAAGGACGTAGTGTTGCGGCGCGAAAGGTGGAAGCAACTTATAGACAGCCTATGCCCAATATAAGAGAAACATTCGATATTACAAACTCAAAAAGGTACTCAAAAAATATGTTTTTTTTTAATTATATATGAGATAAATACATAGTTATGAATCTATCATGAAAATCATATCTAAAAAGGTTTTCCAGCATTGTTACTCAAACTGGTGACATACAGTTAGTGCATATTATTGTATGGAGACTACTTTGAAGAGGATAGAATAAACATTGAAGATTAAATAAATACTCTTTCAAAGAGTATTTATCTTAAAAATTTGTCATTACTTTTTGATCACGTAAAGTTGCTTATAGAGAAATTTTAATTTGAAGTTTGGAATAAGGAGTTAAAATAAGTGGAATGCTGGTACTGGTGCTGAATAGTTTCAATTGCAAATTAGTATTTGTAGATTTTACGAGTAAAAAGTAAAGCCAATTTGTGGCTTCAAATAAACATCAACTGTTCAGGTTGTTCAGGTAAATGTGCCTTAAGAAAATTGCTCATTGCACTTAGCAATTTTAGCCGATGAGAAATTAGCATGACGCCAGCAACTTGTCTTGCCAGACATTTCATCAATTTTACTCTATGAAACGCAAAGCGGCTGACTTGAATGTGGAAACAAATAAGTAGAACTGTGGAAGACAAATTTGCCTGTCAGCATTTTAAAAGGAACTTACCATTTGTATGAAAAATATCACCATCATGATGTCTGGTTAGATTGACAACGAGCCCGTCTGCATGTTGCTGTATGTCCTGCAACAATAAGTTTGCGCTGTTGGAAATGAAATCATTGCGATGTTTGTTATCACCGTGACTGCGACCCATTGATGCTGAAGTTGGTGATGATGACGATGATATTGTATCAGACTCTACTAGCGATGTTGGCGTTGCTGTTGCTGTTGCTTTGACTGAGTTAAGAGCAGCAGCCGCAACGTCAGCAGCTGCAACCGCTGCTAAAGAAGTTGCACCTAAAACATCGTACTTTTCTAAGGCGGACGGTAAAGCGGAGGCGAATGTTTCTATGCTAACAATATCTTCTTCTGCATCAATTGTTGTTACTGCTGATGCATCTGCTCGTGTAGCAACTAGCAGGCATGATGCTAAAAAGTGCATTAGTAACATTAAATGAATCGACAACATGTTGTTGGCAACATTGCGCCGACGCAGATGCATCAGCTTTCTTAAAATATTTTTTATTTTTACTAAATGTAATTTTTATAAACTTTTCTTATTCTCTTTTTTTAAGGTTTTTTTGAGTTTAAAATGTTGACAACATAAAATGCGGATGCTGCTGCTATATGCCTTTATGAAATTTGGCTTTTACATAAATTTTTTCTTTATGTTGAAGTTGATGTATACGCCTGTTGCTGCTGTGTTGCAAGTGCATCGTTGCAAGCAACTTCACTTTGCTGCGGCTGCTGCTGCTGCTTTTGTTTGACCTGATTGCAATGATGGATGACTGCTGTCTGTCAAAGATTTTCGCTTTATTTTGTAGTCGCTGATTTTCGCTTTGAGTTGCTGCTGCTGTGGATAAATGCCGAGTTGTACTTAGATAAATTACAGGTCTCATGTACAATGTGGAGGCGTCCAGTAATCGGCAACTGCTGTTGTAGTTTTTATTTATGTGCTTTTATAAGTTTTATTAACTTAGTTGTCACTACAATTTTACAACTTTGGTTTCTCCACTTCTTTTCGTATCAACATATGCACTTTCAGGCAAAGGTACCGCCGTAAATGTTTGATTTTCATTGATTAATTATAGTTTGGAGTTTCTGTAAATAAAAGAAAAAAGTTACAATTTACAGTGTGAAAAGGTTAATAGTGTTGATAATATTGGGTGGTATTTTTCGTTTCTGTTAAACTTAGATTAACATATAAATTAATCTTTAGAAAATATGTAGTAAAATTTCAACAAATTGGTAAAATGCACAGAAAGTGTGAAGCCTTAATGTAACTATGACGAATTTATAATATTAGAGAATAAATTTGTTAAAATCGAAACAAATTATATTGTCTCATAGCAATCATAAATTACTTTCAAAACAATAAAAGTAAGCACTCCAAAGAATAATTCACTCCATGCGCTACCATAAAAGCATGACATTAACTTATGAGATGAGTGCTCACCTGGGAAATTCTTAATGCTTTTCCATATACGCATAAGCAGATGCTTTGTTATAAAATTATGGCTTCCTATCAACGATGTTTGTGTTCAATCGAATTTTGTATTACAATAAAAGCAGCCTATCTGGTATATAAGCTATATGGAATGTGAATACAAGAAGTACTTCTCAAATAAAGAAACTCTAATCAATTAAAATAATTTGTTATTCGAAAAATTGTAGTGTTAACTAGAATTTAAAAATTTTATTAATTAGAAATTTAAGTTTAACAAAGTTCTTAATTAACTATGATTGCATGTGATTTATTTTTATCTTAAGGTGATATACTGTAAAATGGTAGTTTATATTGCAAAAGGTCATATTATATGCATACAAGAATCTAACTTTAAAAACAATTATAAGATTTAGTTTTCTTTTGTAAGCATATCACAAAAGAATAACCGCTTATTTTAAAAATAACATATGAAACAACAACACTGCTGTCTTATTCAGTCCAAGTTGTTTGAAACCGTTTAACTAATAAGTAGCTTAAATCGCATGGTTGCCAAATTTAAAAGTTCGGCGATTTTGAACGATTTTGGAAGTACAAAATTTCCAGTTAACTGTCAACAAATATTTTACAAATAACTTTTTTAATATTTACTGATATCAAAAAATTATACCCAATTCTTGAAGGAGCTTGAAAATACAAATTTTATTCACAATCATGTAAAAAAAAATAATATTCCTACCAATAATGCCTAGCAAAATTTCTGGGTCTCTCAGAGTTGCCATCAAAAGTATTGCTTATTTTATGAATAAGCCCTAATATTATTTAATTAATATAAAAATATACTCAATTCTTGAAGTACCTTGAAAATACAAATTTTATTCACAATCATGCAAAAAAAAAATAATATTCCTACCAATGATGCCTAGCAAAATTTCTGGATCTATCAGAGTTGCTATCAAAAGTATTGCTTATTTTATGAATAAGCCCTAATATTATTTAATTAATATAAGAATATACTCAATTCTTGAAGGACCTTGAAAATACAAACTTATTCACAATCATGTAAAAAAAAATAATATTCCTACCAATGATGCCTAGCAAAATTTCTGGATCACTCAGAGTTGCCATCAAAAGTATTGCTTATTTTATCAATAAGCCCTAATATTACTTAATTAATGTAAGAAATTTATATGTGTACTTCCTGTTTTTGTTAGTTAATAATGAAATTATGAAGTTTACGGATAAATTGTCTTGTAAGGCACATCAGTCATTCAAAAGATCCATGACATCTTCGTTGGCATGCCATAACAGCACTACGCCAATATTTATTTGTATAAACTCAAAATCCTATATAAATTTTCAATAACCTAACATTCTATATATCACTATATAAATATTAACAAATTCATTAAGATATTAAAAACAATCTTTATCAGAACATGACTGAAATGTCAAAATCAGTTAATATTTTCACACAAATGAAGTCGAAACAGAGCTATCAATCTCAATCAGCATGCAATTCTTCGCTTGCTAACTAACCATTTCTGGCATCAATATAATTTTTAATGACAAATTATTGCCAAGTGTCATAAATGGTTCACCACTCAGTCATACATGGCAAGTAACATATCTACCCGAATTGGACTCATAAGAATCTTAGCTACATATGCACTTGTATCTTAAAATGGTCAGATATGTCAGGCAAGGAGACAGTAGAAATAGCTTGGAAAAACTTATCAGCCAATTAAGCATAAAATCAACGACACGTGAGCGCTACTGTTAACTGCTGTTAATGTAAACTGTGCAAATTACAAGAATAAGTCAAGTACTAAAAGATGCATAGATACATAGATTTTTTTTCTCAGAAAATTTAAGCCGATTTAGAAAACTTGATGCAATTAAGCCTTTCCAAGTCAACTGATATTTATAATTCGTAGAAAGAAACATAAACTGATTGTAATCGTTTTTAATTGTAAGCAGTTAGATTTGCCATTTATAACAAGATGCATTTTTAGATTTATATATATATATAAATATATATATCTTAAATGTATATATCTTATCAATTTTTTTACCTTTTTTAATTTAATCTTATATTTTGTTTGAGAGGTTTCGAAAAGAAGTGAACTACAAGAATAAAAATTATTTTGTTATTATTTTAATTAATTGAATTTTTAACTGACCATACAGTTGTTTCGAGTATTGCCAGATACCCATTTGAAAAATGGAAATGGAGAATAAGAAGCCAAGAGATGTTACTACTTCTGCTTGAGTACATTCATATTGCTACATTCAAATTGTGTGAATGTTAGTCTTTGAAGTCGAAAATATAATGTACAAAATTTTTAATTTAAAATTTAGCGAAACACATAAGGTAATAATAGTTGATAAATTGTCCATTCATTTGGTTATTATATATAATACAGTTAGTGTACAAATTCATATATTCACACGAAGTTCTGGTATAGCCATCCAAATAAACTCAAGTTATCCTTACGTTTCGACGGTAAGGAGACAGAGTCCAGAATTTTTACCTTGATTCCCTGCCGGAAAGGTTTAACATCACGGTGTTTCCAGATAATGCGCCGATAAACGCCCCATTGGAATTATCTAAGTAATTCCGCCCGTACCAATGAAGAAATTTGTGTAAGTCATATTTTCCATCTTGGTTTAATGCGAGGCGCATTTTAAACCTCTACTATAATTTGGGTTGTAGCACCCGGTGGAGAATACGCAATTTCACGCCAAATGTAAACCAAAACTGAACATTATTCCCGCGTAAGTTTGGATATTAACCATCAGCCACTACGAATCCAACCTCAACTGGTCAGTCCAGCCGAAGCTGTGGGTCACTGACCCCCGTAGTACCAGATGCTGCATCTCTGGTCAGATGGCGCAAGTGCCGTGCCACTTACTACCATGCACATTTTTTACACAAGATTACTTACTACCATGCACACTTCTTGCACCGGAATTTTAGTCGCCTGTTACGGCGGGCATACCAATATTCTAACCCCTTCACCGCAGTGGAAGGTAAGGTGACAGTAGGACTCATTTGAGTACTACTTGTTGTCGATTGGACAACAAAATTTGACTGATCGAGAGTAAATCTAGATAGACGGTTCCATAACGATGGAAGGAGTGGGTTAAACCAAAAGAGGAAGTATTTGCGAGTAGGACTCGAGAAAACTCAGTTTTTCAGGCTGAAATATACGCAATTGAACTATGTGAAATTAAACTATGGGAATATAAAGAGAAACCCGTCACAAGAAAAAACACATATATTTTATCTAACAGTAAATCAGCACTCCTAGCACTACGATCACCACGAGTGACCTCAAAACTAGTGTGCGAATGCCTTCTACTTCTCAAAGACCTCGCTGAAAGGAATAGGTTTCATTTAATATGGATCCCAGAGCACTTCGGATTTAAGCGATACAAAAAAGCGGATGAACTAGCCAGAAAAGGGGCGGCCAAATATTATATTGGCCCACAACCATTCTGCGGTCCTTCATGGAGTTTTTTCAAACCTAAAATTAATGTGTGACTGGAAAGAGCAGCTTACTATGATTAGGATAATACAATTGCCTGCAGACAACCTAAAGAATCCATGCCGTATCGATCAAAAGCCAGAAGCTTGCATTTATATGTTAACTTAAGGCAACTTTTTAAGTTCCTCTGTAAACATATAAGTCCCATAGCATTTATTTATTATCACAAATTTTAAACATAAACTTGAATAGCTGAGCAAAGTATTTCTAAAATTCTAAACTTCCTATTCAACTTTTCATGCCATATGAGCACTTGTTAAATTTTATTTTGCAACAATTTATTCTTCTCATTTTATTGCCTTTTCGTCGTTATTGCGGAATTTCAAATGTTTAATCCCCTCAGTTCTTTATTGAATGCTCGAAATGAACAATAAATCTTAGAAGGAACAACGTGCGATATCTTTTATAAGTGCGAGCTGGCTTTCAACAAAACTAACAACAGCTGCT